TTGAAATTGCCCATGTTGAAATTCCATTTACTAACAATGTTTACAAGTAAATGCATTTCTATAGGGTCAGGCACCAAGAACATGTTAAGTTAATGCAACCATTTAAAACTGGAATAAGTCAATATTTATCATTGCATAACTCAATTACAAAACTCCATTTTCTCATAATGGCCTCTGATAATGAGGAAGCGCTCTGTGTGATCATGTGGCCAAAGGGTAGCCTAATGATTGGACAGTTATAGCAAGTCATGACAGTTTATAGTATGGAATTTCATAATGGTTTGGACTAATAAAAGCACCAAGAGGTCTTTGTCTGGATCAGTTTTGACATGTTTCGATAAAAACTGCAAAGACAGAGTAAGCCTCTGTTGAAAAGGTCCAGTCACACATCGGACACCAGAAAGTAAACTAGTGCTACTCACCCAACAAAGACTGAAAATCCCAAGATGTAACAGCAAGTGGAAAGGCCTAATAAGAACCTTCAAAACTTCCCTGCTCCAGGACAAAGCTGATCATCAAAAGCAGTGAAAACAGTCTGAACAAATAATGCCTATACGTTAGGAGAATAAAAGATACAATCAGGCTAGTGCCCTTCTCACCCTCCTCCTCCTTTGAGATCTCTGTGTTGGGAATAATATAAGGCTTGAGGGAGCCGCTCGTGAGATAAAAGGCCACATCACAATGATGATCTCTATCGATCGGCAACCTTGGGCACACAGAGGAGGTCCGGCATTTGTCACGTCGCAGCTCAACCCAATAGCTGATCCGCGCTGCACTCTGATGAATTGGTCCTGTTCTCCAAGTTTGTTTAATTGATGACGTCTTCTCTTGCAGGTGGACCACCACTATGTTCTGCGCATATATTGATTTTGCCAAAACTCGCCCCTTCACTTCCCTCTGTTTAAGGACCCAAGTGCACGAGTTAAAGCCACCTTGACTTAACCTGGACAACAGCAAAGTGTGTGCCCTTCTGAGTGCTTACTTTTAACAGACAAACACAGTTCCACTTTGTTAACACAGAGGCGTGTTGGTTCAACACTATAAACTTCAGGGACTTTTTCAACCCACATCCAAGAGCAGCAGTCTGTGCATACAATGTGAAAATTGGTGAGAACTTCTGAGGTGCAAAAAGGTGGATTCATGGTGCACTGTAGACCACCAGCTCAAACAGGAAAGAGTGAGGGAGGGCCAAGCTCACAACCCGACAGCGGCGCTTCTGGAGAGCATAAGTTCTGTTTTTTTTTTGTTTTTTTTTTGTCATTTTGAGAGAGTGCATGAAAACGAACACTTGTCTGAGCGGGCTAAGCCTCGGCTCGAGTGCAGGAGGTAGAGTCGGCTTTGGGCCATCAAAGGGAAATTCCAGCCTAATGGGGTTTCAAAGTTTCCAATGTGTCCCTGCTCCATCTGCAAAGTGCACGACTTAGCGCTCATGCTAACAAATACTTCAGCTAATGTACATGCTTTTTTTTCTTTCTTTTCTTTTTTCAGTCAATGCACTTTTATGGGACTGGGAATAAAATAATATTAGAACATAAAAGCTGGTGGAAGTGCAGTAGGCTATAACACTGAACAACACAGGACAATTGGCAACATTAAAGGCAGTGCAAACAAAGGCAGAAAATTGTGCAAAAAGGACGACTTTTGGATTTAAAGCACCTATCTGAGATCCCCACGCCCGGAGAATGGGATTGGATTACTGTCGGTTAGATTTACTCTTTGGGCTCTTGGCCACTACATCATCGTAGGGCCCCCTGCCTCTGGATCAATGGGGATATTTACTGCGCCTGTTTCAGGGAGACTTTCACAGTAGGCAGGGCATTAAACAAACAGCCAACAGCCCCGTCCCAATGATGGCCTGTCTCTGCGCACTGGGCCCGTCCTGAACACTGCGCACTGAAAACAGGTACAAATCCAGTCAAGGGAAGATAAAACTCTAAAGGTTATTTTCTTTAGCTGCTCAACAGTCTAAGGCATTTTAAGGCAACCATGTGAATCATCTTATGGTTTTTGCCATAATTATTGTAACCGTGTCTAAAATTATAGTTGTTAAAATGCACACACTTCCATGGCTGCTCATAAACATTTGGCTTTTACCAGTAAAATTAAATTGCACCTCTTAAAATTGTTTGCAGGAGACAATGTGCTGTAGGAAGATTTTTGTATGTTGTATTTTTTCTTTTGGTTATTGGTTAACTTGAGGTTGAGCTGAATTATTATAATGAAAATGACCTGAGGTAAAACAATATGCTGCAGTTGCCCATTGGATTACATTATAAGTTTGATGAACAGCAGTGTTCATGCTGTCTGTCTGGGAAATCATTCGCTAAATGCCAGCACATGAGTGGAAAAATGAGGGGAATGCATGTCAGTTCCTCTTAAATACAGGCTAAATAGGTTCCTTCATAGAGGTAAACAGTCCATATAAGTTTTTTTTTTCTTTTTTCATTACCAGACAATTGCACTTGGTAAGCCCATGTGATCAGCTGACTGTGCAGTGTCAAACAATGCAGTTATAACAGCAGAGATCATCCTCCGTCCTCCCCAGGCTCCAATTCACTAACATGAGACGCCTGTATGTAAGAGCCAGGGTAAAGTAAACATGTGGTGGAGATGAAAGCTGATGTAAGCTGTAATAAAGAGCCAGTCATCATCTTAGTCAATAACGTAAATGAAACTGAAACACCTGCTATAAGCGAAAATGGATTGTTATTGTGGTTCATTTTCATATGTTCATTATAATTTACAGTATTTAAATGCAGATGTGTGTCAGGGTCTAATTCAAATGTGGTTATTTTAGTAGCAATATGCAGAAAACATTGATTCGACTTCAAGCCTTTTATTTATGAGAATAGTTTATAATGAATCAACTCCAGTCGCCAATGTAACCACATGGAGGCTCACAAGCTGTGTACCAGTCCCAAGTCTGAGAAATTCAGAAGGAAATGTGGTTCTGAATTTTATTTTGTTTGGAGATTTAATGAATGGGTTAGAGTTACAGTTTGGAGTTATAGGTTTGGGGTATTAAACAGTTATTATTTAACTATTATGAATTAAGTCTTTCTTCCTGCTTTATTAAAGCTAATTAAGTGTAGTTAAAAGTGTTACTAAATTGTAAATAAGCCCCAACCATTTTTAACAAAGTATTAATAAACTATTTGTTGAATATGAATTATGTCTTATGTTTAATTAACGCTAATGAAGGTGTAGTTATGATGATGTATAATCAGTATTTTTGTTCTTATGAGTTCAACATTGAACAAATTAAATACCATAATAAAGAAAGTATTAATGCTTTGTAAATTTCTTGAGTGTGACTTGCCTATACAAAGCCTAAATAAGAAGTCTGTAATCTACTGATCTACTGAGCCTTATATTCAGATAGTCCTTCACCTGATCTGCTTCATGCCCCACACTGGGTTAATCCAGTAATAGACATCTGAAGACACTTACATTTTTGGTACTTTATTCTGTTGTGGGTGTTTGTGTGTTTGAAACTGTGTGAACACATGCAGCCCATGTGTGAAGTGTAAGCCACTATGACCAGCTGCACAATAACTCACTTCACTGACACTGCACTGATTTACAACACACAAAAAGTGTATGCATCCCATTATTGTTATTTATTTTTGTGCTTGCAAAAATAAATAAAAAATAAAACTGTGTATTAATGTGTGTAGGCATATACAGTGTTTAATTTGCTTGTGCTCAATATACAATATAAGATAATGGACTATTACTGAAAAGCCCTAAAAGTATTAAAAGTTTAACAGTGAATGTACATGGATTGATTGATTTATTATTGTCATTGGTAAAGTAAGTAATTATAAATACATTTTATTCTGTGGAAAAAGTAATAAAATAAAATAAAGCACTATCAGATGCAGCAGACACCAGTTGTGTGTATTTTTTTTATTTACGAAGGTTTGATTGAGTGATGAGTTGAACTCACATATGCAGACTGGCAGAGTGGTATGCTTGGAACAATGGGAACAGCACGTTATAGCTCAGTCAAAATGTTAACGGTAACTCACAGACAAAACGTCTTTGTTTTAAAAAGTGCATTCACAAACATGACAAATACTTTCAACTCAGGATGTCTATCTTTATGTGATACAAAATATGCATACCTGTTTTAGATTTGTCTGTATTTCTATACATAGATATTTCTCCAAAATGATCATTACTTATTTTCTTTTTACAAAGGTTAAAAGCAGGGTTGTGGTCATATAGCAGCTTCAGATATCTTTAACATCTTCCTTATGTAACGACGGCCCCGCATATCCGTAGATATCCCCAAAACTAATCATTTTCCTTTTTTTTGTTCAACCCAGTGAACATACCGTCTGTAGTGAAAGATATATTCCTCAGTGAAGCCTGCAGTCTAGAAAAAATGGATCAATAAAATGCCTGGGCCATTAAATATATTTTTGTATACCCGCTTTTTTGTCAATATCATAAATACTAAAGACACAGGACAATATCATAAGACAATGCTGGGAGACTAAATGTAAAATTGTTCAAACATTATTTTTCAAGTTTTCTAGTTTATGAAAAAAAATCAAGCGAGCACAGAAACACTAAAACATCAGTCATTTCTTCAGTCCGTCCACAGCTCTTTTAATGAGCTTCATAAACCATAGAAAGAGACCTAAGCTTTCCTCTTTTCTTTATGTGTCCCCTTCAGTTAAGATGCTTGTCCATTATCAGTGAGGCAGGGTCCCGGTTTGGAAAAAAATTCAAAGCAGTCAAACATACTGAGAAAAAACAGTACCATGCAAATCTTGCAAGACGGCGTATTCTCGAACGAGACAAAATATTCTTCATATATATCACTTGAAGGAATGGGCGAAAGGCAAAGACTGCTATTCATTACTAAATTCTATATTTCCAAAACCAAACGAAAAATACAGTATTTCTCCTGTACATACATAGTATAGTATGACTGTCCATCTCATCTGGTCTTTAGTCTTTGCCAAACACCTAGCTTGGAATAAACTTATTTAATTGATCCCAATTTCTTTGTTCTCCTCCATAAACCTGGAAAATGGTCGACTTGCCCCGACCTCCAGTGCGGTCTTGTCCATAGCAGTCATGGGTGGGCTGCTTCCAGCGTGCACCCGCTCAATCCCTCCTGGCATGGGCCCTAAAGAGGTGATCCCTGTGCCCCCCAGGCTCACAGGCAGCTGGGTGATGCCACCGTTCTGGATGACAGAGATCTCATTGTTTTTCATGGCCAACCCGTTGGTGATGGCGGCGGCGTACTGATTCCAGAAGCCTGGGTCCACGTTCATGGCCCGAGCAGCTAAGTCCTTCTGGAAGATCTCACTGAACTTCATGGCATCACCACCTAACAGAGCCATGGGGTTCTCCACAGACAACCGCCGACCTCTGCGGGCTGGGGCATTGTTCCACATGTGCGTGCCCATATGGACCTAAAAACAACGCAGAGAAGATGGACTGAGAATGAATTATCTGAAAATATTGTTTACACTGTGATGTATGTTGAAAACAAGAAAGGTGGATATGGTTCAGAATAATACATAGGTTTTAAGATAATAATTCATTCTCTAAATAATAATAATAATACATTTTAAAATTATATTTTAAAACTTAACTTTTTTTTTTTTTTTTGGAAATGCAAGAAAGCAAGGCATTTTCTCAGTGCAATTAGAAGCTTTACTACCTAAATATAATTGACAAAAACTAAAAAAAAAAAAAAATATTACATTTTTACCAGACAGATAGACAGATGTATAGATAGATAGACAGACATATAGATATAGATGTAGATGTAGATGTAGATGTAGATATAGATGTAGATGTAGATGTAGATATAGATATAGATGTAGATGTAGATGTAGATGTAGATGTAGATGTAGATAGATATAGATATAGATATAGATATAGATGTAGGTGTAGGTGTAGATATAGATATAGATATAGATAGATAATAGTAAATGTTTCTTACCTTGAGGTTGCCTTTTGTGGTGAAAGCCCGTCCACAGATGGAGCAGGCGAAGGGTTTCTCTCCGGTGTGTGTGCGCTCGTGGATCTGCAGGGCACTGGCTGAGGAGAAGTTCTTCCCACATGAGTGGCAGTTGTGCTGCTTGGGGGTGCGTCTGGGGGGCGGGGGAGCGAGCATGGGGTTCAGGCTGGAGCTCATGGTGGAGCTCATGGTGGTGCTCTGGGGCGGTGCCGCGTGGCCCTGCATCCCTACAGGCAGGTGTGAGCTCTCACTCAGGGACTTCCCGTGACCATTCATCTCCATTTTGATCATGTTGGATGCAGTGCTGGCCAGACTGGGAGTGTTCAAACCTGGAAGACAAATTTAAAGTAAATATTGGTAATTAATACAACACATAAACAAATAATATAAAGTGATATAGCAATAATAAATCACCAACAATATTTTATTATCAAGTCTTATATTTATAGATGTTTTCAGAAGAAGGGTGAAAATGTTGAAATGTCTTTTCCTATATAGTGATAACCTATTACCTTGTAGTATAAGGCTGACTTTATAATGTTCCTAAATTATATATTATGTATTGGATATAGTTTTGGCACACTCACCTCTATCTCTATTCAGGAACAGCATGTTGAAGTGGCTCTCCTCCTTGATAAAGTGCCTGCCAGGTTGAGTGGCAGTCAGGTCAAGAGCCCCAGTGCCTTCCATGGCAGCGAGCGGAGATGGAGTCTCTGATTTTTCCGACTTCACTGTTGCCAAGCTGCCTGTATTGTTCTCAGGACCCTCCTCTGTCATCATGACGTTGCTATTGTTATTATTGTTGAGTATAATTGGCGACTTGGACCGCTGGCTCTCCGAGTGGCTGTGCGAGGGGGACAAGTGCTGCATGGAGCCGGAGGAGTCGGACAAAGCGGGGCTCCCCAGGCTCTGACCTTCTGTGTCTCCCACTGCAGACAGGGAATCAGTGGCAAAGCAATCGTTCTCCCCACCAAAGCTGCTGCTGCCGTTCAGGGTTGGCTTCTGACCAGTTGTGCGGGTCATGTTGGCAGTGGAGTCAATCATCTTCATCTGGTTCTCCATGGCAGCTATACTGGAGTTTACAGAAGGGGGAGGGGAATTGCCAGGGGAATACACTTTTGGTACATCCACTACATCTACATCTTTTAAGTCAGGTTCATCATCAATTGCCGCCTCCATTTCATCGAGAAGGTCATCATCATAAGTGCTCATTGCGTCTAAGCTCTTTTCGTCAAAGCCGATGTCAGTGTCCATTTCTTGGATGCTTTCTGGGACAGGGGTGTTAGGGATCTGCCCCCCCATGTGCATACGGATGTGCTGCTGTAGCACCACAGCGTTGGTGAACTTCTTCTGACATATGGGACATGAGTGCTGGACCCGGAGAGGAGGTTTAGATCTGTGCACGCCAAAGTGAGTTTTCAGATTGCCCTTGGTGGTAAATGCCCTCCCACATATCTTACATTTAAAGGGCCTCTCTCCAGTGTGGATTCTGTAGTGCATCTTCAGAGCACTCTGACAGCTCAGCACACGGTGACAGATGACACACTGGTTTGGGTCAGTCATCTTCTTGTCAATATTCTCCACCAGCTGCTGCAGTTTTGATGTTTCTGAGGTTTGCATAGAGTCTAGAAGGCCTCCAAAAGGAAACTTGGCCTTGAACTGGTCAGACAGCATGGGGAGAACAGGGTGGGAAACTGCATTTGAGGCAGAGTTAGGGCTGCCAATGGGCTCTGTCACCTGGCCTCCACTGGAGCATGTGGTGGATGTTACAGTGGTAGACAGAACCACTTGAGTGACTGTAGTTGTTGTGGTGGTATTGTCCCCTGGACGAGTGGGACAGCTCGGGGGAAGCAGAATGCCTTCAGCTCTTAAGTGAGGGACATCACTCCCTATGTTGAGCTTTGGGGATGGGGAAGTAGTGGTCAAACCAGAGTCATTAATAATGTTAGGGGAGAGAGATGCGCACTCACTAGAGGGAGGAGAGGGTCTCTGTGGAGACCTGTTGAGTGGAGTAAGACTTGGAGAGTCGCCAAAGCCACCCATCATACTGGGTAGAGTGGGAGGCAGCTGCAGCCCTACAGATGTGGACACAGTGGGGAGGACAGGCTTGCTGTCTAACCATGTGGTGACAGGCTTTTCTGGGGGCAAAGACATGCCATATGGTATGCCTGAACTAGTAGGCACATTGTCCAGATATTCTGGCACTGGGTATGGGTTCATTTGAATATGTGGGTATTTTTCTTTGTGTCTCTGAAAATGCACTTTGAGATTGCCCTTGGTGGAGAAGCGGTTTCCACATATGTTGCATTTGTAGGGCCTCTCTCCAGTGTGGGAGCGCAGGTGGATCTGCAGGGCACTGTCACTGCCAAACACCTTGGCACAGAAGCGACACTTATGCTTGAAGAATGGGTCATCAGAGCTGGGCTTAGTGTCAAACACAGACACATTTGGGGGCTTCCCTTTACGGTGCTTCATGAGCGCTGAGAGAGGGTCCAGAGCATTGGCCGTGGCTGCGATGCTCGCGAGAGGGTTAGGGAAGATAACACTGCTGGAAGAACTGTGAGGTATCAGTGGCATGTTAGAGGCAGAGCTCAGCAGGCTGCTGTGGCTGAGAGCTGGAGGAGTGCTGGAGTTTCTGGGTAGTGCCACACTGTTAGTGAGGCCTGCTCCTGCTGTTACACTACTGCTACTGCTAATGTTTGTGCCTGTGGACGAGCAGGAGGGTAGGAGAGATGAGAGGCCCGCAGAGGCTGGAGGAGGAAATACGGGACTGTTAGAGGAAGTGTTGGGGATGGAGGAGTTGTTAGACTGCTGACCACCACTTTGTGGTGTTTGGGAAAGAGGCCCCTCCATTGCAGAGGTCAAAGGTGATGGCCCTTGGCCATTAAGTGTGGCTGGCAACCTAACAGGCAGCTGATGGACAGGGGGAGTGATGAAGCTGTGTAGCTGCAGCTGACTGGGGACAGGGGGGATGCAGGAGGAGACAGAGGCCTGACTCACAGATGTGCTGTGGTGGTTGAGCTGAGGCTGTGAGGCAGACTGTCTGTTCATCAGAGCCACCTGACTACGGATCTGTTCGATCAGCTGCAGCTGGTGAATCTGCTGCTGCTGCAGGGCCATGAGCTGCTCCAGGATAAGAGGGATGGCCATAGTGGAGACTCCAGAGCCCGAGGCCCTCACACTTTGAGAGAACTGTGCCACAGCCACTCGAGTGCCCTGCAGGGTCTCCAGGGTGACGTTTGTGCTGGGCATGGCGTACGTGCCGAGGCTGGAGGGAAGATCGCTGAGCGGAGGTAGAGAAGGGTCGGGTTCAGGCGAAGTCATGTCTCTCTCATCTGGATCCAGGCCCTTTTCAGGAGACAAGTCCAGCTCCATCTGTTCGTCGTCCTTTTCTAGGACACTGACCCCATCTAAGGCTACTGTGTCAGGCATGTCCTCCCCCTCGCCGACAGGGCTGTGGCTGCCCTCCCTGGGGTCCTCACTGTCCTCCTGCTCACTGGGACAACTGGGGACAGGGGAGGACTCTCCGGGGTACTCCTGAGAGGGGTTAGGAGTGTCCTCATTCTCATTGACTATGAGCACCAGCGGGTTCTTGGTACAGCTGTTTAAATGTTCACAGAAGTCGGCCCATTTGAAGAACTCAGCACAGCACTTCTCACACACGTGCGTCTCCTCACTGCCACTGCGACTCTCGTTCCCACTGTCTGCGTCCTCCAGCACCTCACCCCGACCTGAAGGTGAGACGGTCCAAAAAGAGAGGGGAGGGAGGGAGAAAAGAGAAAAGGAGAATTAATGAATAAATAATCGATAAAGAATCTACACATATTTTGCACAGCAGACCTGCAAAGATTTAACCTTTGATTTTTTCCCCTCTTTTAACATAACCAAAATCAATATTCTTTTTATTTTTTTTACTCTGAACAAATTGCCGTAGTTCACCAATTCTCAGACCCGGCTCTGTGCGTTCACACCCACTCCATAGAGCCAGCTAATAATTTTCTTTGTGCAATCCATCAAATTATGAGGGCCTATCAATTGTGGATACTGCCGCTTAATGAAATTCCATAGAAGCTATTGATTTCCAATATTTCATACAATTCACAGCTGCCTCATCTGTTGGGTACAAATCAGGACTTTGATGGCCACATTAGGATTCCCCTCTGCTATCAAAGCCATTTGCACCTGAATTTCAAAAGCCTTTTTGAATTGCCAATGTAATATAGATTTAAATATAATGTCTCATGCTAGGTATATTTTTGAATCTCATTATTGATTGGAGTATTTCTGTGTCAGTCACTAGTAAACTGATACATTTAAATGTTTTGTATACCTTTTTCACACAAATACATTTATTTAAAATGTGTTGCTTTTTATTTTCTTTTTTGTTCTTTTCTCCTTAACCACTTTTTATTCTCTCTCTCTTTCCATGGTGCCATCTAAAAAAGACAAATTATATGCTGGTGCCATAGTAGCATACTCTCTGATTGGTTGCATATGTTTAATCACAGTTGTAGGAAGCCACTTCCTTTTCCACATGCAACCAGGAGGAGAAATAAGCGGCTTCAATTCCGGACAAAGAACAAGCCACACCTGCTTATACTTTGATAACTTTTACTACCACCCCTGTAAAATTGTGTATACAAATATGAGAAATATCTTAAATAGTATCTTATTTATTTATTTGTATTTGTATATGTATATATTAATTTAGCTTTTAATGTAATCATTTTTGTTAAATGCATTCAATATTCTTAATAGGCATTAATTATAATTAACATACAGCACACCTTTGTGAATTCACACATTACATAATAACAAATAAATAGTTAAAAAGTGCAATATTTGTACATATATACATGTTAAATTGCTAATTATGTAATTGTAATGATCAGTTTCTAAAAAATCCTATAAGCACACATTGCATGTGTATAAATCACCTTTCCGCAGTGGGTGAAAAAAAGCCATGTTTCATACAGTGTCTTTTGAGAGGGCCACACATAAAACATTCATGCGTATTACATTGAGTCATTAGTGAAGAAATTTATCACTGCTGTAATTTCTGGCTGAAGGGGTCTTGAGCTCTGAGGGTCTGGGTTGTGCAATCCCATCAATTATCTATAAAGCTTTAAGGACACCACGTCAGTGTATAGGACATTATAAAAAATACAAATATAAAAACTCTTAATATGATTCAAAATTTAGCAAAACATCTGTAATCCGTCATGAGAACTCTTAAACACAAGCTGACAAGTGAAAAGCAGCAAGTGCCCAAAGTGCGACACGTGACAGCAGGCGAAAAATCTCCTTAGGCCAGCAGCGGACAGCCCGCCTCATTTCCATAATTGAGGGGTGAAAGGTCAACGCAAATGAGTAGGCATTGTGTTGAGCTGATTAGTTATTAGAATGGTATTACTGTCAATCTCTTTCATTCATTCATACAATTACAAGCAAGGGCCTTTGTATGAGGCTGACCTTGTGGAGAAAAATACACACGTGAACAAAGGCAAATAAAGGATTTGAGTAAACTGAGAATGTCATTTTATAGATACTACATAGATACAAATAGTACTACTATCAGTGTAGCCTTTCATATTTTTACATAAGACAAATATTATACCAAAATACAAAATACTTTATGTATGAAAAATGTGTTAAACCTAAAGAATAGTAATACAATTGTATATTATAAAAAAAAATGTATACCTTTTAATATTATTTTAATCATAAATTTAAACAACATTTTTGGAACATAACAATACTATAAATGTTCTTTTATATTATTCAAATTGTAATTTTGAAATGAATAAATTATATTTATTGTTACTGTATAACACATCTAAAAGTAATGTACATAGTCTTATATCCCATCTTGATGGGATATAACAGAGCATATATTTAACATGTTTGTCAAATATTTATATATTAATTGATATATTCATTAATTCTGTATAGCATTTAAAGAGTCATATACCTTTCTTTCCTTTCTTTAGTCTAATGCATATGTAAAGTTGAAACAGGTCAGTGAGGAGATTGTGGACATTGAATCCCTGCGTTCCTTATCATGCTAAGCAATCTTTGGCATGCTAACTGAAACCGCTAATCTGACATATTATATCAGAGCAGCTATTCATGCTTTCCACTCTTCCACTCAGTGTCACAGTACAGGCATTCAATAGGAATCAGGAGTTTACAAATCATCCCATTCTTTACAAATTACACTTTTTCTCACCAAGTTATGACACACCAGTCAAATGCACACTGTTAGAGACAACTGTAAGCACACTGAAAACATTGCTGCAAATGCACATTTAAAAGAGCATGTTTTTTCTTCTATTATATGCAACAATTCAACCACAGTATTTAAAATGTATACCTTATTAAAAACTCTACATTATCAAAAATAATCCATTATCTGTATTTAGAATAACGAGCCCAGTCACTGTAGAGGTAATCTGACAAACAATAGAATACAACGTTGCTGCCTCTACAAGAATGCCATTGTGCGTTAGCTGCATCGTTTTGCATTACTCCACTATAATGTGTGTGTGTGTTTTAAAGCTATCGTGGCCAGTGATTTCATGCACGCACCATCAGCAGAGTGCCCTGAGTGTGAGCGCGTGTCATCACTGCAGACCATGGTACAGTTCTATATCTGCAGCTACACTGGGGCCTTTGTCATTGGCTGCAGATGCCACACCGCCAAAACATTAACGATTTGTTTGTGTAAGCATTTGCAATACAGTATTCAATGACGGCACGCTGTCCAGATCACTCCATCAAGCCTCAAGACAAGACTTATTCTGACATTGTTGGAATATGACTTTACAGTAATTCAAACAATCTACGGAAAGCTTTTATACACAATTGTGAAAATGCATAAATTAATAAAACTTTGAAATTTATGTTTTAAACTAATTGTGTTTTGAGGTATATTTTATATTGTTTTGAGAGATGACTGATTGTACTGAGCAAATGTACATTTTAGTTATTTCTGTATCTAAAGGTTCTGTATGATATGGATTTTGTAGCCTGTGCTGCCAGGTGACTGGGTGGTGGAGCTGTAGTACATATACAGGAAAACACGCCTGCCTCGCTGTTGTGGGTTCAAATCCTGCAATCTGCTAAATCTTTCTCCCCACTTGGTCCTTATGCCCTGTCCACTCCAAAAACATTTGTGCTTAAATGATTCAAGTCAGACTATATTTCTGTAACATCTGTGCATTAAGACCAGTTTATTGTCAGGTCTCTGCTTAAAGTACTTCTTGTTTTTCTGAGAACAAAATACTCTTAATGTCCATAGCCATTATACTGTATCTTTGACTGATCTTTACAAATCCTTTTCTTCTGATTCTCCTCTCTGCTCCCTCCATACACAAATATCACTTCTTGTTCATGTATTTTCTATACTAAGTAGTAATTAAGATACACCATATTTCAGTGGCTTTCTGGACATCTTTGGAAAAAAAACTATTTGGGTGGTCCAACAGTCAGCACCCCAGGGATTAAAATGAAGATCAACAATACAGAAAAAGTGTGTGTGACAAACATATTGTAACTATGGTCTTAACGTTGGTCCTGCTGAAAATATTGGTTGATTCAACAGGCGGACAAAAATGGAATAAATAGAACTCATAAAAACTCAACTAAATCAAAGTTTGAGTTACTCAACCATGCCAAAAATACAAAAAAAGACAAAATGTGCAAAAAAGGCACACTAAAAGACACAAACTTCAAATTCAAGAATAGTTTGAAAAAAACTTGAGACAGATTGTTGAAATTCATTTTGTATGTAAGTTAAAAGGAAATCCCACCGTCATAAACCTAAATAAGCTTTATAGTAAAGCTCCCTTTGTAGTTGACACTTTCTAGGACATATATAGACTCCTCTTCCAAGGTCACCATGGCTACAGCGCATGTTCTAATTGTACAAAGATCGTGACATCCATCGCTGCGACCTGCTGTCTGGGCCCGAGACAAAGGTTAAGTCAGCGAGCTTTATAAACGCACTCTTAAAATCGGCCCCCCTTCACCCCTTCCTGTCCTAACACACACAACACCACAGCCTCAACCCTGGGGGGCACCGTCCCAGAGATCTGAGATGCCAGTCAAGGGATTCTAGCATACAATTTTACTTTTGATTTGATCTTAAAATACATAACACTAAATATTTCAAAATATCAGATAAATACAGCCTTGGCTACAAATATTATATTTTCTAACTTTTTCTCAAAAACAATATGCCATATTGTGTTTCACTTTCATTCAGTTTCATTTCATTTATATTTTACAATATCCAAACAACAGCCACCTCTTTACAATGTTAGCTTCTTCATGTAAATGTTTTGTTAATAAGTCATAAATCCCCAAATGTAATAATGTCCCCCTTCACTCTCATTGTCCCTTTTAAGCCCACGATTCATTGGCTGGTTTGGCCGATTTTGTTGGAACTTCTACATCCCTCCGACATCATACAAGAGCATTTGTCAGGGCCGAGCGATCAATAGTGTCATCGGTAGCTGTGGCACAAACGCGATGATGGCAGCTCCACAGAGCGACAGGGGTGTCCACAACAATACAATCCCAATGTGGTGCTTCTCTTGCTATGACATGTGTAACATGGGGCTCTGAGGCACTGCTCTGCGACCTGGCCTGCTGTTATTACACTAAAGTGTGGAGAGGTATACAGTGTGTACTGTGTGTACTGTGTATACTGTGCTCGCGCTAACCATAGGGATTGTTTTCTGCCACGTCTGCTTCAGAAACAAGCGCCTCTGTGTATGGACATAGGACATTCCAGAGCTACTTGGCTCCTCAGCAAAACGCCATTGACATTGCAAGCTTGCCAAAACAGAACAGATATTTAAAAATACAAATTATATTTTAAAATACTTCTATCTAAATCCTTGCCAACACTCAATATTTTCTTTTACTGTAAAACACTGATTTGAAGAAAAATAATAATAATAATAATAATTAATTTAAAAATCCAATAATGATTTACTTTATCCATCCCTACTACTGTATTTGTTTGCAACAACACATATTAAATACGCTATTTTAAATCTATAATTTCAATACAAATATATAGATCAAATATAAATGTATAAATATATCCTTTGTCCAACTTCTTGTAGAACTAAATTCTTAAATCACTCTTGATTCTATTCTAGTCCTTAAATCTTATTCTATTCATTAATTTCCTCAAATAGAACTATGTGTATTTTGAAACAACAATCTTTTTAAAACAAAACTGAGGTAAAAATAGGCTTCACTACTTTAAATGCTTACAGTGCTAAAATTCCTCTATCTCCTCCTGAGTTTTCCCACTTGACATTCCTCAATCCTACAGGAGAGCAACCTGATGGATGCTGCGTATCACCGTCTGGAATCTGAGGCATCCTGACACTGACAGCACAGCGTTCAAGTTCCAATGAGATTTCCCTTCAGAAAATCAAGAGAAAAACAGACAAAAAAGGAGCAAGGAGTGATCAGTGAGTCTCGCCCTTCAAAGCAACATTTCCTCATGCAAAGAGAGCAGTACCCTGGAGATTACATCATGCATTTCTATTCCAAAGGAGCCTTGCAAAGTGTGTGTCTGTGATGTGTGTGACTGGGCGTGTGTTGGACCACCACAGACAAGACATAAATAATTTGGGGTAAAAAAAAACAAAAAACTTGTCACACATTGTTTATATAAAACAGATTTTTGTTCAGTTCAAATATTAAGAGCTGTATCATTTACATCTCTGGTTTGTTATTTTAAAAAAATAGGCCTATATGGTAAAATATATTAATAGCCTATATAAAGCTGTGCCAACTGTTAATATGTGAAATGCATAATAAAGACTACTTTCCATTGAGTATTTTTTGATCAGAAGTAAGCTATGAATTGTAAAGTTGTTAGGCAAATCCCATAATTCCGGCTTTGTTTTGTCTTACTTTGAAGAGTGTCCAGTTTTTCAAAGGAGATCGTCATTGCGCAAAAAGCAGAGCACATGCAAAATAAGACATGAATGGGTCCTTTTTAAATTCCACATGGCGAGGACGAGTTGTGTCAGCCGGTCCTGTCCACATTGTGAGCGAAAGAGAACAAATCAAGTGTGCCAAATTTATGTGAGGGCGGTAAACAAAAACATTTCCATGACAAAAACTAGGCTTCGACTTACAAGTGAAAGCTTTTCCCCCGAAGAACAGGGGCTGCACGGGAACTGAACACCCGGGTGAAAAATAAAATAAAAACGTGCGTATTATAATTATAAATAACATGGAAAGATTCTGCTTTGGATCTACGTTGGTATATTTTGGACACTTAGTGACAAAAAACAGATATTACTGTGCGTATTTAGTGCGTAAATTGCGCATTTCAAAGAAAATCTAAACATATTTCCAAGTGCGTCTTTTTCTCTTTTACAGAACGCGGCCTCATGGAAGGCCTAGTCATACAATATCATAATCATATCGGGGCCTTCTGTAATTTCATATTTTCATATTTCAAATTCATAAAATTTTTGCTGGAAAAAGTACATAAATGGCAATTGCCGGAAACGATGGAAAGTGTCTCGTTCGTCCATATTTATAAAATCAAAAACTTTGAAATCAAAAACTGATTTAATAAAAACTGCCTTTTAATAGAGCTCGGTATTAGACGAGATACACAGGCTATTGCCCATGTTTAGTACATACTTCAGAAAGAGGGCAAAGTGATTAAAATAGGTTAAACAAAAATAGCTCTAAAAACTGAGGGCAGGTGCCCGGTTCACCCCAGTGTCCCGTCCCACTGAGTCCACTCACCGTGTTCGGAGATCACTCCTGCCAGCGCTGGGTCTTCGTCCGACTTGAGGTGCTGAGGCTTGGCTTGCTTGCGTCGGGACATGCTGCTAATGATGCTGCTGGCGACGTTTGTGCTCTCGGTGTTTTGGCGCTCCGGGATGTGCCTGCGTTGAGCAGATACATCAGCGAACAGGCGAGTGAATCAAACACGCGCTGAAGTTGAGAGGAGTGTGCGCGCTGCAGGACGGGGAGGAATCATAAGTCGAAATTAGTTGTTGGTCTTCGCTCGCTGATGTTCGTCGGATTGCGCATGTCGCTATAATAATTATGATAGTGAATAATGCCTGGCGATTAATGGCACTGTGTGAAGGTGGGGAGGGTTGGCTGCAGTCCAGCGGACGCGCATTGGATATGGTAATGAGGGACGGACTTAGCAATTAGCCGCTTCACTCTCAGACTTTATCCGTGTCTTTTTCTCTTTACTCCCCAGCCTTCCCCCGCCTCACAACAACTTGACAAAAAGCGAGCCTCTTCTTCTTGTACTCGGCGCTGGGGGGTCTACAGGGGTACCGTCAGCCTCTCTCTCTCCTCCTTCTACAAAGTGAGGATTCGCCGTGAAGTGGCTGTCATCTTCATCTCTCTCTCTCCTTCATAACTTCATAATTTACTTACACTCGAGAAGCTCGTCAACTCTTCTCCGCGCCTGTTTAGTTCTGTCGTCAGAATGGATGCGCAAACTTCTCCACAATAACAAAAAGTTCGACTTTGTATGTTAATACGCGGGTCCTGTCTCCAATCTTAGACAGTGCTCAATTTCTCCAAATATGACGCATTTGAAGTGTTCCACGAGGAGAAAGGTACTTCGGAGCTTGAGTTCCTGCCTGCCCCGTCTCCTGCTCTCTCTGTAGCCGTGCCGGAGTCTAGTGTCCCGGCTGCCTTTTCGCTTCGGTGCACTTTCCAAACTAAAATAAAGGAGTCGTTTATCTTCAGATCTTCAAATAAGACACTTGAGCGCACAGATGCAGTCAGAAATACGCTTTTCTCTGTCCAAAGTTCTCGCCGCTTGGTCTGGATCTCTCCGCTCTCTCCCTCTCTGTGTGTCCGCCGTGTGTGCGTGGAGTGGGGCACTGCGCTGTGTGGCTGAGAGTTAACCCCGCGACGAGCAGCGGAGGAAAGGTTCAGCCCATTGCTTTGAGCCACCACTAGGATGTACCACCACGTTACTGTTACAATAGAATGTCTTCCAGAGGCAAAGGCGCACACACAGACAACACACAGTTTTGACCTGCATATCATGTAGCCCATTACCTATTCCGCATCTATTTCAAATCTTTACACATTTAAGCTGAGGGCACATAGGCCTAGAAGAAAACGTGATTTTGTCTTTTTCACCTTCAACCTGCAATTTCATGTAACGACGTAAGATGTTTAGAGACACAGGCTACTGTACATTTGATGAGAACATTAGATGTGTGTATGTTTAAAAATAGGCTACTTAGTCATTTTTTTCATACATGCGAATTAAATATTTGGATTAATTAACTGCTGTGCTGACCACAATACTGACGTTTTGTGTATGCTTTACAAAATAACCATCAGATAAATGTAGCCAAATTGAAAATGATTTTGAAATAAAAATAATAATAAAAAAAAATCATGTTCTTACAGAAATTGTGGTCTGTAGTCAATAGAGTTATTGCCTGTTTTAGTATCATTACGCATTGTGCCAAATTCAGATGGAAATTATCTTAAAATTGTTTTATAATCAATAGCACACTAAAATGGCTTTAATATCATGGTATATAAAGATAAATGTTTTTTTCTTTTTTTTTTTTTTAGAAGCTCAAAACGAAACTGTGTAATTAGGTGTGCATTACAAAAGAGAAATCTTTAAATATTCGGTGAAAGGGGTTTGTCTGTCTTTAGGCACCTGCTCCTTCTATTAAAACACGTTTACTGTCACCAGACGTCCTGTTGTTTTGACAGAAGGGGGCACTTGCCTGAGAGAGCCCCGCACCCGCCCCTCTCTGTCTGTGGGACCTGTCTATCCGCTTTGCTTCATATGAAATCTGTTGACAACAAGGTCGTTCTGCCTGCGCAAACTTTCCTCTGCTTTTTTTTTTCTACATCTATCCCCAGCACCTACAACGTATGCCCAAAAGCCTGTTATTATCTGGTATTAATAGATGCAGCCCCAGGAAGACAAAATCAGCTATTGATAATTGCAAGGAGTATACGGCAGCAACTCTATCGATCGGCGTGTCCTCCACTCCCCTGCTGCTGAGAGATAAGGAGACACAGTCTTTAGAGCAATATAATTTCTTTTGACCTATCTGCTTGCTACAGACTTATGATGAATAGCCAGAGTGGCTCAAGTCCTTTATCACCAAAGTTACCCCCTTGATATAATATTGATTCTTTATAACTAGCTCGCCACACAAAAATCAAACTGTCCACTTGGCCATCATCATCATCAATATCATCACAAAGGCGGGGAGCAATGGAGAAGCAAGCTTTGAAAAGAAGAAGAAAAAGAAGGGGGATTTTACAATCTTCTCCTGTAGGTCTAATCTTTATTTTGCTGATGATGAAAAGAGAAAAAGGGGAATGAGGCCAGGTGCCATTTAAGACGAGATGCCTTTAATCCGGTATAGGACACACACGTTGACAACACACTGAAAAAAAACGATGAGGATTCTGACAGCTATTTGCGCAGTAGATTTTTGACAGGAGACAGACAAGAAATGCAAACAGTGGTCATAATATAAGTACTTCGAAGTTAAGGACTTTAAGTAGACTAAAAAAAACATGTCCATTTGGTGTTGCCCTTTTACGCACGTCTGAGTAATGCACTGGCTGCTCCAACAGGGCTGTAGTGACTAAAGGGGAGCAGAGCTGCAGCAGCTGGGAGCGGAGGAGAAGGAGGGGAGGAAGAGAGATGGAGGGAAGAGAGGAGGGAGAGGACAGAAAACGTGTAATCCCCCAACAGCCCTTTGGATCTGGACCTGGTTCCGCGGCGCGTAAAAAGGTAAAAACTGCTTGACTGTGTGCGTAACTGGCTAATACGCAGCATAGAACTCTTTTCTCTTCTCTCCCTCCCTGCAGTCTGCTGCGACATGTGGCTTACGTGGATACAGTCAGTGAAGGCCGAAAACGGAGACTCACAAGGTAAACGCTAATAAGTTTCCTACGTTTTATTCGCTGTGTGGTTATTTTTACGATCCAGGCAGTTTTGAATGACAGCTGTTAGTGGATGGTGTTGTGTTTAGAGTAGGGGAGGTGTTAGTGCTGTAGATATGAGTGCGCTATGCAGTTTGTACAAACGACTCGTATGCGTCAACGGCCAATCAGACGTTTTTGCGCCGCCGCCCGCAACTGGTGTCGAGACGTGCCTGTCCACACAGTGCAGGTTAGAGCAATAGCAGCCTATGGCACAGCGCACAGCCTACGATCTGCACCAATCACAGCACAGCTGCAACTTTTTTTTTGGAAGATATTCTCATATCAAGCGAGAGTCACTATACAAGAGCCATATATAACAGATTTACATTTGTATTGCAAACTCACATTTTGAGTCAATTTCTGGAGTGGCGATTGAGATACTGTAAAGTACAAATGTGCAATTTCACGTGAAAATATATCTGAATATAGTTATTCATTTATGTGTTTTGTTGGTAACTCATTGGTTTACATATAGTTTCAATGTCATGTTTAAAGATGTAATGTCTTTCTGTTGTCAGAAAGTTTACTTTGTGAGGTGAAAAGACAAGAATGATATATTACACGAATACAAGAATATATATTATTCCTACTTTTTGTGGAGTTGCATGCAGCCTGTATGAGTTTATATGAAACTGATTATTGTGTTTATAAATGACTGAAGAAAAAAAACAAAACAAAAAATAAATGTTTTTACAGGATTTGGTCATATGTCATTTCAGTCATGGTTTTGTGATGTGCTAATTGTCTTCTGCTGGATGTGGATGTGACATGTAGTTTGTTGCTGAGATGAATCAAATCTGGTACAAGTGGTCAATCAAGCCTAATTGAATTGAATTGAATCAGCCATTTCTATACTGTAATTGAATTTGTGACAAGAATATAATTGGAATTAGCACTTGAGAAGAGATGACAAAATGCTCACTGCCACCACTATAACGATGTGCGTATCAAACAGACAGAAAAGCTCTTGCAATGGTTAATGACATAATGGGGTGTAAATCATGAAATATACAAATGTGACTAATTATCTCATATTATTCCTGTTTGTGTGTGTGTACGTGTGTGTGTACATGTGTGTATGTGTGTATGTGTGTGTGTGTGTGTGTGTGTATGTGCTATATTTTATACTAGGATAAATTTATACTTTCAGGCCTTGGTCATCCACACTATTTAATGCCATTTTCACTGAATCTCATTGGAATTCTTTTGGCTGTGGGAAACATGGTAGGAGAGGTTGCTACATTTTGTTTATTCACTGTAATTCATTTTGGGTGTATCAATGTGGCAAACACACTTCTAAAATTATAGATTTTCGTCTACTAAAATAACAGAGAAAAAAGTGCAATTTAGTGAACACCATACACCCCGTACTAAAAGACCTATAGATGTTGTAATAATACTATAAACAAATAGCACTTTCACAAACTACTACTACAACTTTTACTGTTGTATTAAAACTGCAATAACTGAATATCATGTTTAAAAAAAAAAAAGAAAGGTAAATCAAAACAATAAAATAATCAAGTAAAGTTACAATACAACATTCAAAACATGCTTTCAACATCGTATAAAGATACAGAGTTGGAGTAGTTGTTGGGGGGAGGGGGGCAGTCTACACGAGGGCATGCAGGCTGTAGACCAGTGCAAGGGATGTGTGTGCCACAGTGTCTGTTCAATAGAAGCCTCTGAATATTTAAAGAGCATCAGTTACTTCTTACTGTCATGGTTTTGGCACCATTTGCCTTGCTTAATCCTGGTAAGTGCATATCTCCACTGTCTTACTCAGCAGCGAGGACATATGTCTGCAGGTTTAGATGTCAAGGCAATGGGGACAGATTAGTATTTGATTATTTGAAATACTATTACCCAAACTGAACATGT